AGTCACCCTGCATTTTTTTAAAAATACATTTTTATTGATTTCAGAGAGGAAGGAAGCAGTAGAGAGAGATAGGAACATCAATGATGAGAGAGAATCATTGATCAGCTGCTTCCTGCATGTTGCCATAAGGGTTGAGGCCGCAACCTGGCATGTGCCTTGATCAGGAATCGATCTGTGACCTCCTGGTTCATAGGTCAACGCTCAATCATAAAACCACACCAGCCAGACAGCCCTGCATTCCTCAATACCCTTCCTCTGTCAATCCTCCCTGGCTCTGACATCTGGTCTGGGAATATATTTTGGAAGTTATCAGTTCTTTCTCCTCTCATCCCTTCTTCTATCCCCCAATAAAGACAGAATTGGACATCTCTTCTGCTTATCTTCTTCTATGGCACTTACCAAGTTATGAGGGTTTATATGTCTGTTTTCCTGGCTAAATTATATATTCCTTGTTGCCAGTGTATTTTGTCATGTTTGCATCCTCATACTCAACAGAGTTGACACTCAATATTTCTTAAAGAAAGGAATGCTTACAGAAGTGTTGTGATATATCTTGTCTTTATTGACTAGAATCCTGGAATATGTTTCAAAAATGCCTAAAACAATTAAAAAATTGTGAGTTCTGCCTTGGGGGAGAGAAAGGGATATGTAAAAGAGAACTCAATCTAGTGAGCATCCAAAGGAACCCATGTACTAAGACACATGACAAAATTTCTACACAGATGATAACATTTATAATTGCAAAAAAATGTTCAAATTGGAAACAACAAATATGAAACTTAAAATAATTAAGTGAGGGCTTGTTCAGTGGATCTTTTAAAAATGGCATTTTTTGAAGAATATTTAATAACCAGGGGAAATGCTGTTCTTTCCAATTAACTAGAAACAAGAGGTATATAATGATTCCAATTCATAAAAGCTATTTTAAGAAACATATTGGTTTAAAAACATTTGGGGGTGGGGAAGGAAAACCTAAAATAAATGATATTAAATCATGAACAGTGCTTATCTCTGAGTAATCTACATATAAAAAGCCTAAGCAACTGAATGACCGAATGTCCGATTGACTGGTCGCTACGACACACACTGATCACCAGGGGACAGATGCTCAATGTCCCCTGGTGGTCAGTGCACTCCCACTGCCAACCTCCTGCAGTCCTTCCCCTGGGCCGGCTGTCCCGATCAGCCCTGACTGCGGGCCAGGCGGAGGACCCCACCCATGCATGAATTCATGCACCGGGCCTCTAGTCTTCTATAAATAATGTCATTCAACAAATATTTATTGAGCATCTCCATATCTGCTATTGTACAGTGATAAGTAAGGGATATCTGTTCCTGTTCTCCCAGAGTTAAACATATTACATTTTTATAATCAATTAGAAAAAACAAAACCAGTTAGGAAATAATAGATGGGATTGTCCACTCTACATTTATATTCCATGTAAGGTAAAAATGATTCCTAGAACTTCTCTGGAATCTAAGATGGGGTTGATTTTGATACAAACATTCGGATACAAATATTCCTGTGAGCAGATTTAAAAATTAACAGTAATTAGCCCTAGCCAGTTTGGTTCAATGGGTAGAGTGTCAGCCTCTTTGATTCCAGTCAAGAGCACTTACTTTGGTTGCGGGGCCCTGGTCGGGGCTCATGAAGAAGGCAAGCAATTGATGAGTTTCTCTCACATCAATATTTCTATCTGTCTTTCCCTCTCTCTTCTACTCTCCATAAAAATCAATGGAAATATATCCTCAGATGAGGATTTAAAAAAAATTATTTTAACAGTAATTACAAATAAAGTTTGCTCAGCAGAAATTTTAACCCTTTATCCATCTTCAACACATTCCTTTTCTTTGTTACTTTCCCCTCCACCATTTCTTGTTCTTGCCCTCAATAATTTACCCAATCTATCTAAATGAAGCTTTATATTCCTCTTTTTTTAAACCAGGGAATAGCCAGTTTAAGATTGAGCTCTCCCATCTTGGAGATTTTTGGGAAATAGATGTTTCAGAGAGGACCTGCAGCTTTTAAGAACATAAAAATAATTCATCAAGAATCTGAAAGTTGTAGTTCTTTCAAAGCTCCTGCTTTATAAGGTATCTCAGGTATAGAAAAAAAAGAAAGATAATATTTGATTAGAATAGTGACTAATTTACCTTCATTATTCTTCACTGTAATAATATTACTAGTTTATATCACTGACTGGAAATACTTCTAAAACTTCCTATAGTTTTTGGCTAATCAGAAACACAATTATGATTAGCAAAATTACTCTAACTGCTCTGAGGTTTAAAAACTTCAGCACTACGGGAGAATGGTACACATTTTTAGGCACATTAAAGAGTACATATAAACTGGCAAAATTCTGTGGGATTTAGAGAGCTGAAAATAGATATGCTATGAAATAGTTTTCCAGAAATACAAATTTACTAGAGAACTCAAGTAACTGAAATTTGTAATAAAAGTACATATGCAAGCTATTACAATAGGCATATATACAGAGTACTAAATGCTAACTTAGTGTTGTTATGTCAAAAGCATATATACCCACAGAACTAGGTGATAGAATTATTGATATTTATTCATTCACTCAACAGATTTTTAGAAAGCACTTACTCTGTTCCTAGTTGTAATCCTAGGAGCTATTACACATAGAGCAGTGAACAAAACAGATAAAGCTCCTGCCCTCCTGGAGTAGGGTAGTGGGTTGAGACAGATAATAAAGAAAAAAAATAAGTAAAACTAAATTGGTGTAAGTGCACATGAAAAAAACAAAGTAGGAAAAAAACACACAAAAAAACACGAGGAGGGTGAAAAAGCAAGTGGGGAAGGGAGCAAGCCATGTGGGGTGCCTGAGGAAAGACATTCTGGGCCAAGGGGATAGCAAGAACAAAGGCCCAAAGGTGGGACTATGCTTACTATGCTAAGGGACAGCCAGCAGGCCAGTGTGGCTAGAACAGAATGAAGGAAAGGGAGAGGCCGCAGATATGGTTGGAAAGAAGGGGTGGGGGTGAGGAAGTTCCTGGAGGAGCACTGCAGTGAGGCTTTCAGGAATGGGTAGGATAGCCACAGGTTGAAATGAGGGTGGTAGGTGATGCCAGGTAATCAGAACAAGGAAAAACAAACAACAAGGAAGTGGGTTGAAGATGTTGAGGAGTCAGCTGGCCTCGTGTAGAGTATACATGTAAAGGTGAGGGAACATGAATGTGAGGGAAGGGGGCTGTAAGGAAGGGGTGGTGGTGAAGGATGTATATGATAAATATTCATCCTTTGATCCTCAGTTTAGAAACTGTGGAAGAGGGACATAGAGTACTAGGGGGAAGGGCAAGTATTTGCTGCCCCTATAATATAACCCTTTGCTTTCCTTGTCAAGAATAAAATCCTACTCCAGAGAGCTGCTTTAGTTGTTATATTTATAAAGGAAAAAAGTAGAGGTCTTTGGATTTTTGTGGGGGAAAAGCACTTATATACATAGTGGATCACAAGACAGAGATGACTAAAAGGGAAGACTGAGAAGGCAAACAGGAATTTCAATTTTTTAAAGAGCATTCCACAAAATGACTAACCCATGGATAAACAGCTGAGATAATTACCTACCAATTCTACATAAAGCAAAAGAGGATTCTGTTATAAATACCCACTTTGAATTCAAAGGTATACAAAGGCAAGAGCTGGGACCTACCTCACAATTCAACACCCCATATCTGGAACAGTGCCTGGTACAGACAATTCAAATGCCTGTGTAAGGCACTGAAAGCCTACACTTCACAGTCCATCCCAGCAAAATAAAACCGCACTAGAGCTGTCACAGCACCATCTCAAATTGTTAGTATTAACAGGGAGCATATTAAACAAAAGCAGAAAAATAGGAAGAAAGAATGTTTTTCTTCCATGCCACCACGTGTGCAAAACAACGACATACCGACATACCGCAGAGGAGCCTAATACTGGTTACTCTCAGCTACATGCAAGAGTGTTGTTTGGAATAATGGGATTACATATCGTGATCAAGTCCAATGAACAGAGCTGTTGCAAAATCCAGGGAAATTTCCCTTAATATACCCACATGAGTTGCATTAATGCTCCCTTTCTGGGACAGAGAACAAACACAACGCATGAGGCAATCTAAAACAACCTCCTTCCTCTGGATCCTTAAAGAACTCCGTGGATGTAGGGAATTGGGTTTGCTTCTCTGTGTTTCTTAAACCCCATACTAAGAGGAAACTCACCCTCATTTGTCTCAAATGATGCAAAAGAGCACAATTACAAAAAACACAGCAGCTCTTATCCACTCTTGGTCATGAGATGTTATAAGTCCCAGAAACACACACACACACACACACACACACACACACACACACACACACACACACACAAATCATCCACTAGATACATCACCACCAGATACAAAGGGTGAAACTTCTGCCAGGACAAAAAAAAAAAAAGCAGCTTTCTACAAAGGATGTTTGTGCTCCCGTCATTTTTGTCCCAGTATCAGATTGTGTACAGTTATGTGAAAGACAGCTTTTCACACGACTTTTTAAATTAAGCTCATCCGTTTTAAAGGGTGTTTGTTTGTTTTAAGTGCAAATATCGGAATGTCAATATTCTTTCCTGTCTTCCATGAAGCATTTTTTTTTCCATGCTAAAGCTAAAACATCCTCAAGTGCGACTCCATAGCAGATTTGAACTCCCTTTGATACAACAAATAAGGCGTTAGCGTGCCTTTATAACCACAAAAAAGGACAGCCGTGGTTTGCCAAGGTGTGTGTATGTGTGTGTGTGTGGTTAGTTCTGCTTCTTGGTAGCGATTTGAGCAAGCCCTGAACTTCGGGTGCTCTGCACGGAGTAGACGGGACCCCGGCCGCTTTCATGTCCAAGATGCAACAATAAAAGCATCCTCTCCGGTCCCCCTTCCTGCACCCCGAACCCCTCTTCCCGGAGCCCGCGCCCTCGGAGGGGTGGGGGGAGAGGGCCGGGCTCGGGGGCCAGGCGGCCTCACCTTATAGACGTCCCCGTAGGTGCCGCTGCCGACCCGCTGCACGAGCTCGTAGTCCTGCTGCGGGTTCCGCCGCAGGATGTCCGCCGCCGCAGGCCGCAGCGGGGCCTCCATCTTCGCTCCGCGCCCGGCCCGCCGCCGCCGCCGCCGCCGCCTCAGCCCGCGGCGCCCCGACGACTCCCGCTTAACGAGGACGGCAGGCGCCGCTTCCCAACATGGAGCCTCCGACCGCAGCTCCGCCTGCACGAGGGACAAGCAAAGGCGGGTCGGCGGCCGGCGACGACCCCGAGCGGCGGCCCAGCCCCCTTCCTTCCTTCCGCCGCCGGGGGCGCCACGAAGTGGACCAGGAAGAGCGCCCCCCCGCCCCTCCGGCTTCCCCACAGCCCGGTCCCCAACGCGGCCTTTCCTTCCCCTCCCGCGGCCGCCCGGGAACCGTCCGGCACGGCCTCCCGCGTCCGCTGGGCCCGCGGCCGGCTGGGTCCCGGAGGGGCTGCCCCGCTGTGAGGAGCGCCGCGCCCGCCCGCCCGCCCGGACCTACTTCCTCGCCGGCGCCTGCGTCCTACGTCCGGCGCCTGCGTCCTGCTTCCCAGCGGCGCCCGCCCGCCCGCCCGCCCGCCCGCCCGCCCGCCGCCGCTCCCGGCAGCGCCGCGTCCCCTGCGGCCCGCACGCACGTCCGCGCCGGCGGCGGGAGAGGCGCGTACGGTTGCCGCCGCTGCGACCGCACCACGTTCGCCGCCCGGGGCTGCGTCACCGGGAGAGGGGCACGCTCCCGGCCAGCGGGTGGCGGCGGTCCCGCTCGAGCGCGCGGCCCGCGGAACCAGGGTGCCGCCCTGAGGCCTGGCTGGGACACGACAGCCTCCCCGGCGCGCCCGTCTGTGTAAGACCCGGGCTCTGTCACCCTCTGCAGGGGTTAGGGGCGCCCTGGGCTTTCATCCATCCATCCATCCATCCATCCATCCATCCATCCATCCATCCATTCATTCATTTTCATTCATTTATTCATGGGCCTGGCCCCCAGATTTGTCAGGTAAACGGAGTGACGGGTGAGAGGGAGGAAGGGTGGGCGCGAGGGCGGAGGGAACGCACCCTCCCGGGTCACGGGAAAAAGGACGTTGAGGGCGCCGCCGGGCCAGGAGGAACCTGGCATCCTTGGGGCGCTGGCAGAGAGGTGGGGGAGTGCCAGGTGAGCTGAGTCGCGGCACACCCTACTGCACCTTCCTGTTTTGCAAACTGTTCCCAGTGGTACCAGTTTTAGGCTGCCCTGCACACCTGCACAACCTGTCTTCTTACGGAGTTTTTCCCCCAGACATTTCCAAAAACCTGAATTCCTAGGAAGTGTCAATGGCTTATTCCTGTGGGACACGCGAGCTGTCTCACCGCGGGTGTTGCCCCTTTGATTGGATCATGGGTTCTGCAGAAGAAGGAAAAAACAAACAAACCAACAATGGCAGGGACCACAAACCTGGTTCTGGTTCTGGTTCTACCACTTCCTCGGTGTGTAATCTGGGACAAGCCATTGTATTGGGCAACATCTCACTGTCCTTATCTGTAGCTTGAAAGGGATCAGGTTTTGCATCTGACATCCAAGAAGTGTTTGTAAAGCATTTTACAGGATTATGAAGAGGCTAGTCAAACGGAAGACGTTTAATAAGGCCTGGCCGGTCTCTCAATGGTTAGAGCGTTGGCCTACCACCCCACCCCTCCAGGCACCTATGGGAGCCAACGAATCCATGTGTCTCTCTCACATTGATGTTTCTCTCTCTCCCCTCTCCCACTCACTCTGAAAACCAATGGAATAAATATCCTCAAGTGAGGATAAGCAAAACAAAAAAAGCAAAAATACTTTGAAATGTACAGACGATCAAACAGGAGTTCAGGGAAGTAATTTGATATTTCACAAGCTGTTTTGCAGTTTCAGTTCCAGTCTTGTTATGAAGGTAGAAATAAACTCACTGGACTTATGTATACTGGCAGAATTATTTCTAGAGCCCAGAAGAAGTTTTGAACAGAAAAGCCAGATGACACAAGTCAACACATTTAGGGACTGAAAAATAACAAAAGAACAAGTTGCAAGTTGCAAAAGAACAAGTTTTTCCTTCTTCTGCAAGCGTTGGCTTGCGGCTTTGAACACACAATTCAATTCTGTTCTTGGGCAGTATGCTCCTTGCTGATCGTTGTAATCAGTTGTATAATGTAGAAATTAAGTTCACACCTTAACAGGACAGGGAATATATGTATTTTCTTGTGCTCTATGCACAAAGGGCACTTATTTAGGGGACATAAGCAAGCTCAGACTTAAGTGCTTTGTGGACAAAGCTTATGTGTTTGCTGTATTGAAAAAATTGTTGAAGAACAGTTCGTCCTTTCAGAACTTCTTGGCACTTGTTTTGGTGGGCACATACTTTTGGCTCCAATGACTCAAAATCTTTTCAAATGTTCTGTTGGTACCCTAGTACTTGTTTGCTGTCATAGATTCTCTTTCCTTTCTTCACCTCTGATCCTATAAGCATTGGTCCTTTCTGTAGTCTGAAAATTATGTATTCTTACTTATATATACCTTCATTAGTCTACAGAAAATTTAAGGCATTGTATAGGAAATACATATTATAACACAAGACAAATGTAAGTAAATGAGGCAATAGGTATAATGTTAAAGAAAGGGCAAATAGGGTAGTGGAACAATGTAACAAATTAGCTAAAATAGAGTTTTATAGTATTTTTGAGATCACATCTCAAGAGAGAGGCATATTTTTTCCTGATACTAAGACTTCAGAAAAATTTATCTCATGAGCCTTCCTAAAGTGGAAACTTGGAATTCCCAGTTTGAAATGAGGATAATTTTCTTCTGATAATCCTCCAAGCACTTTATTCTTGAAACAATGTTTGATATGAATTAAGCAATAGAAAATTTGAGGTCAGAGCGAAGATATTTTATGTTGCCAGTAATAGCAGGTCCATATGCTTTGACCATCAACTCAGAGGAAAGTTGAGATTCTGGAAATGGAAAAAGTTGAGATTCTATGTGGTGGTTAAAAAGTGTGTCTGCTATAATCATTATTTTATTTGTACCACAATTGCAAAGAGGAAAGCATTTGCTTTATACTAACTCCAAAAGAATATTAAGGATTTTAAGATTCTTACTGGTTGAGTTAATTTTAGTAAGATTGGTGAAGTCATAGCTAGTGGTTAAATATTACATGGTTGGTAAAGAAATTCAAGTTCAATTTCCATAAAATAAACATACAATGCATAAATTTAATTTTATATCTTAAGCAATTAAGCATATAGTTTCAAGCTTGACTGTTATATAATAATTATTATGTAACAAAAATTGTAGCTAACAGGTAAGTTTTTTACAAACTACTCAATTTTATGATGATATGGTATAGAATAAGAATATATATACCCTGTTTCCCCAAAAATAAGACAGTGTCTTATATTAATTTTTGCTCCCAAAGATGCACTAGGTCTTATTTTCAGGGGATGTCTTATTTTTCCATGAAGAAGAATACAGTACACATTTATTGTTAAATAAAAATAAAGGAAATTTATTACCTGTATACGGTACGGTAGTACGGTAATTGTCAACACAAACCAGACAAACTGAATCCTACAGTATCAAGAATTTACTCATTTATTCAATGACAATCATGTCATCATCTTCTGGAACATCATCATAACAATCCAATTCCTGAATTTCCTGGTGAATTTCTGTGACTCCATTTCTTTCAGAATCAGTGGACCAAATCTCTCATGTTTAGCCTAGAGGGGGCCTTATTTTCCAGGGGATGCCTTATATTTCACTCAGAAGGAAACCTGTAAGTAGGTCTTATTTTCGGAGGATGTCTTATTTTTGGAGAAACACTGTATATGGCTTGATAAGCCCTTCACCCCAACCTAATTATCTTATATTCTTAGTGTCTTCATAATATGTAATTACCATGTTTTTCTGTGTATAAGACGCTATTTTTTCCTAAAATCATTAGACTGACCATCGAGGAGCATCTTATACATGGAAGTCAGCTGATGAGGGAGCTGCTCTGGTGCCTAGCTGCCCATACCTTGTCAAACAGGCTTCCTCCAATCACAAGCTTTATTGTTACTGATGTCAGCCAATGCTGTGATTGGAGGTGGAAGTGGAGAGTGCATAGGTGCAACAGGGACCGGAGCGTTCTGAGCCCATAAAGATGTAAAAAAATAAAAGATAAATATCATAAGCAATTGTCTTACTCTGCAAAATTCAAACGGCATTTAATCAGTTATGCAGAAGAGCTTGGAAATAGAGCTGCAGAGCAACAATTTGGACCTCCTCCCACTGAGTGTATGATCAGACAATGGAGAAAACAGGAAGAACAACTCCTTAAGATGCCAAAAAAGAAGAAGGCCTTAAGTGGAAAACCAGTGAAATGGGCAAACTTGGAGCAGAGGCTTAAGACTTGCATTATGGAACAGCGCCAGAGTGGCTTATGTGTGTCTACCAAGCTTATTCATTCTCAGGCAAGAATGTTTGCAAGCGAAATGAATATTGTTGATTTTACAGGAAAGGCAAAATGGTGCTTCGGTTTCACGAGGTGAGAAGGGTTAGCCATGAGAACAGGAACAAAGCTCAGAAAATGCCACCAGTTTATGAGAATGGTCTCACATATATAGACAGTGACTCAGAAGACAGCAGTGATACAGTCGAAGTAAAAGAAATTGATATGTCTGGAACTAATAGTGATGAAGAAGAGAGCAGCGATGCAACAGAAGCTGAATAAAGTGATATGCTGCACAATATCACAGTACTGTATGTAAACATTACCTGCGGGAATTACTAAATAAAATTTTGTTCTGTTTTATGTTTAAAATATTGATTTTTTAATTTTGGGTTGGAAATGTGGGAGGCGTCTTATACATAGGGGCATCTTATACATGGAAAAATATGATATATTCCTGCTTTTACGTACTCTAATCTATATATATAAAAGCCTAAGTGGCTGGAATGACCAGAATGACCTGTTGCTATGATTCGCACTGATCACCAGGGGGCAGACACTCAACACAGGAGCTGTTCCCTGGTGGTCAGTGTGCTCCCATGGCCAACCTCCTCTGGCCAGCCAACCTCCCACAGTCCT